GTCCTGCAGGCGTGACGAAGCTACCCAACAGTTCCTGGAACGCGAACGTGTGTTTCGCATGACTACACGACATGACAACGATCAACACCGCGACGACGACGAATAGGTGCCTGGACGACAACAAAACAACGACCCAAAAGTGGCCTCAGCACCCAATTTTTGCGAACACAACGAGGTTCCGGCTCTTTCTTGTGGCCGATGTGGTTCAAGAGGAACTCGACCTCTTCTTGACCCTTCTGTACATGTCCAATGATTTTGTCAATGGTAAACGGCTATAGAGCGAGCGTCTCGTACTATAAGTTGGTCTCCTGTTTGAGCGCGGTCCCGCCGCACATGTGTTATAGACCAGAGGGTTGTTCGAGCCACTCCTGGTGTGTATAATAGGAAATGGAACCGTCGCACATGGTATTGCATACCAGAAGGGAACAGACTACCGCCGCCAGCCGTAGTTCGGCCGTAAGGTACCCAACGGCCCGGCCGGGTACCTCAGCGGAAAAGGAACACGGCACATGCATACGACGCGATGTTACGTGCAGCCTGGAGAGGCAGGACTCGAGCTCGATCAGTAGAAAATATTACTTGGACAAATAGGAAACAGCTTGCACACGTACGCATGACGCGTACGCGAAATGAAATGTTCATAGACCACACAAAATAACGCATATGATACCGTACCTCACACCAAAAATCACGCACAACAAGAAGAACGAAGGCTCGCCAGAAGAGCAGATTACACCTCCATCTACCTCTACTATCACTGCATAGTATACTATTAAAATAAAATAAAAAACACGGGCGGAAAGGCACCTGCGACTCATCTATGCAAAGTGCACGAGTTCCGTCCATCAGAGCATACTGGACGAGCGGGCTAGGGGCGTCTTTCTTTGCTCACTACCACCATCGCTGTGCTAAACAACGGATACATTTCAACGGAGATTTTTCGACGGACAGTTCAACCCCGGAAGACAAAAGACACTACGTTCTACTGCTGTGTATTGTAGATGGCGACAAACACCAATGGAAAACGCTTCAACGGAGAGCCGGCCCGGCCCTCGCAAGGCTCAACATCGGGTCAATTCTCGGTCGCAACAGAGCCACGGCAGCATTGTACGGAAAACTATCCACCAATCCCGAACAAAACATTACTATTATCAACACGTACCATCCCAGCACGAACCCAACCCTATATAAACAAGGAAACAGCATGGTGCGGTGTGGTGTGGTGTGGTACTTTCGGAATTGCTTTGCTACCGGTCACGCGACAAACCAAAAACAATCACAAGCACATGAGATGGACTATACGATTCACTGGCAAATGAATCGATCGCCCGGTGTGGCACGGGGGATGCCATGCCATTGTGCACAGCAGTACTGAAGCGGCAAGGGCCACTACAAATAGAATCTAAAAGTGAAAGAGACAAAACAAAACAAACGAATACGACACTGCAATTTCTGATACACATTCCCCACTAACATGCACCTCACGGCACGCAACGTGACATATACATAATAAACCACGCACACGGTAACTTAGATACCACAACGTTCTTCACCAAACGACGGCGCTTCTTGTTTTCAGGCAGAAAGTGCAGGTGGAACAAACTGGAACAAAACGACCACCCAGCACATACAGGTAGGGTTCGGTAGGCCCCCAAGCTGTTCCTCCCGCCTCATCTCGCGAGTGCATCACGTATGTTCTTGGGAGTGGTGTCCGAGTTGTAGTGCATCGTGGAATACCGGAGAGTTGCCCGGAGTTGCTCCCCCGTGGCGCCACCATGCCTGTTGAGCACTTTGATGCACTTTGAAACCTGATCGTGGCCATGACAATGCCAGACAAGGGGATAAATGCAGACAGAGAAGGGAGCACGAGTACTTAGGTGCAGGGTGTCGGCAGGCACGGAGGACAGCTTGCACGTCGAAGGTTGCTTGATCTCAAGGAAGATTGACGACTGCAAATATCCAGACAATACTCGTTGCTGAACCTGCAACGTGGAAAAGGCGTGTGTGATATGTTGACACCCGCTTTAATGAGCCTGGAATACACACCACGGCTATTTGGAGAGCTGGCCTGTTAGAAATAAAACACGTTGGCCTGCTCAATTCCAAGCCAGCAGCACCGCAACATCAGTGACCATCCGTGTCCTGGCAACACGAACACACAAACAAAAGTTCCCAGGACCGGCCAATAACATGCAAAAAATACGCCATGAATACATGCACGTGTGGAAGACAACCGGCCACACCCCGCCCACTCACCCCGATGTGTGATCTCCTCACGAACACTCCCGAGTCTGTGATTCTATCGTACAGCACGGCGGCGCTCGTCATGGCCATGAGGAGTTTTCGACTCGTAGCATCGTTCCTGCCATCACGCATCACGATTGGCACATACGGTGGCATGACAAGGCATGGTCAAAGGCCGATAGCGGAAGGCGAAAGGCAAAGATGCGGGACATACCCGTGTATATGCATTCGGGGAAAACACGCACACGTACAATTTTGTACTTCTAGAAGATATTGTGAGCGTGCTTCCAAGATATGGAGCAAGGCCAGACGCCGGAAATAGAAATTAGAGAGCTACAGCATACATAAAAGAGCATCTCGCATGGTGGCCAAGGGACGTACACGTCACTAACTGCTCTGCGATGCATGTACTCACGTGTGAGCCCTTCTGTGCACCATCCCACAGCACATGTTCGCCACTGTGGCGATGACATTCTGGACCCGCGGTACCTCCTCAGCCGTCTTGGCCGTAACCTTGGACAGCATCACCATCATCGGTACGTTCTGAACGCGTACAGTACCAGCCCAGCCCAAGTGCAAAAAACATGCCGGAAGAACAAAGACGGACGTACAGTAGATACATCAGTAAAATAAATCGGGAGGAAATGGGACATCTGTACTACACTGAGGTACTGCTGTACTGCTTCTTGTAGTACTCAAGGAGGGCACGTTGGCAGAAGTCGGGAAGGAGCGAGGGATGACTGGATAGGAGTTCAAGGCGATGGCTTGAAACGACGACAACCGACACCAAAACAACAGACGACATGACGATATGCGCGCGCGTATGCGTGAGCTATGTACCAGTATGAACAATGGCGACACGGCACGCAATATGATCATGTCTGATGCCTGAGAGACAAGTCTGAGACAAGTTCCTGCCAGAAAAGGGACACACGCAACAGACAACACACCCACTACCCACGCGCTGGAAATTCTCCCAAACAGACGCCGCTACTCTCGGTTCACTCCCGCAAGTGCTAACAACATCAAGTCGAACCTTGAAAGAGTGGGTGCAAGCCAAACAACCCAAACAATGGGGCAAGCCACACAATCACAGGCAAGCAAAAAACCGTCCACGACGAGCCAGCGGCTGGACACGGCACGCACCTCCGCGATGAACATCGAGATGGCATTCGCGTCCGTGTCGGCAACGGGCAGTTCCAACAGCAAGCCGGCCTCCTGCTCCCTCTTGAGCCTGGACAAATATCTCCGGTACGTGGCGAAGTCGTTTTGAACCTGCGGGCGCATCATCTGCCATCATGATAAGCGCGCCAAATTCCGTCAAACGCCGAGAGGAGAAGAGGAGGGGAGGAGGGGAAGAAGAGAGGGGGAGAAAAGGGGAGGAACAGCAGTAACATGTTCAAGGTGAGGGAGAGGCTGATTTCCAAGAATAAGGACAAGACAAAGAGAGTCGAACATTTGAAGGGTACGTTCCCGGCTACCTTGTACTTCTACCATCGCCATCGCCATCATGGAAGGGACCACGAGCGGCAACATGACAACGTGCATATAATCGTGGATACTTGGCCTTTTCTTCTTCTGCCTCTCTCTGGTGTCTGAACCCCAGTTCCGTCGAGTGATATCGTCTAGTGACCACGGCACAGCAGTACCACGGTCATATCAACGAACGACCACATCGAAAAAGTACACTACTCGCGCACAACACAACCCACAGAACACGGGGTCTACTATAAGTGGCTAAGGTACTTCTTCGACTAGTCCATTGCTGTACGGCGGGTTTATTTCAAGCGACGGCGGGGAAATAAATAAAACGCCGCCACGACTGCTGTGGTCGATTTGTGCATTCAACTTCACAATACATCCTGCCCCGGTGGATTCACGTTGTACACTACATCATGTACCTTTTAGCAGCAAATCTCACTACCGCTGTGTTCGCAGGTGCGCTGCAAATCACGCTCTTTCTTCTCAAACACCGGTCTCTCTCGCACGGCAGGAAGGCTGAGATTCGAAGCTTTAACTCTCCCTCATGTGCGATTGATGACTCTTGTTTTCTAACCCGGCCATCACAGGAACGAAAAGACAAGAAACAAAAATGACACACGGCTGCCTGTGTTTCTGTTTGCCTTGGTAAGGCCCGGGAGCGCTGCTATAACAGTGGATGCGCGGCCGCGGGGGCTGATGGACCATATATAAGGCCGTTGACGTCAACTCCACTGAGTCGCCCGAGTTCTCATTGGAGTAAAAACACGACAGCTGGTGCTCGAACTGGCGAAAAAAAGCGGCCGGAAGGACCAGATCGAGCCAGCCAGCTCAAGCCACAAGACGAAAACAACAAGTTGTGTTGAATCGATCGGCTGAATGCACACGGCAAGTAATGAGCAACGGACAACTCTAACAAACCTTAATTTGGTCCCACTCGAGTACCGCCTGCAGTAGCTCGGTCAGCATACACGCCAACAGCGGGGCCTCCACGATGGAGCCAAGACCTGCCAGCCTCCCCAGCAGAGCCGGCGCCAGCTGCACGAGCCGCACATGAACAGTAGCAACAAGACTTTTCAATCACAAATCAACAAGCAGGTGCCTGTTGCACGACGGCCGAAGTGGTCGCTACTGCAACACACCTACCTGCAAATCGGACAGCCCACGAAGGCGGGCGCTACGTAACCGTGCCCATATCTCCCACCGGTTATTCCGTCTTTTGAGCAATATTGCCTTACAGCAGTAGGTCGGTTGATCCACACCTACTGGTGCTGTGGGTGCCATAGACACACTACTGGACGACGACAACAGCAAGCAACTTTCCCCACAGCACAGACACGACAATACGCCCGCGCCATAATTGCTAACCAATTGTGTGCGTGCATACACCCTTGTCATTTGTGCTCTTCCTTCGATACAACTGGCAATGCTGTTGTATTATCCAACAAGCACGTTCGGTTTTCCGCATATTTCCAGCAAATACACGCGTAGACTTGATGCAGTTGATGCAATACACCGACGGCGGTGGCGAACGGTCCCGAGTCCCGAGAAAAGCAACAAAGCAGACCTCTTCGACTCGACTGACCGCTGCGGTTAAGTTACAGCACAAGGTCTTGAACGGGTTATCTTTCTGTGTTTCTATCTATGCTATGATTAAGACACCCAACCCGCACACCGTTCCCAACTTCTCGCAGTAGTACTGCCTGCGCCCCCAGATAAGCCAATGTGAAGCACCGTATGTTGTGTGCATACGAAAACGTCCCGAGCCTTGAATATGCGTAGTCTATGCATGCAGTATCATACCAATCCGAACACGGAGGGAATCGCGTGACAAGATTGAGATTCACGGATGGTGCTTTTGCACATGAAGATCTGTAAATGGAGAGGACGAGCTACACCGACTCCCGCCGCCTGTACAGCCGCCGCCTGCGCGCTAGAATAGCTGGTGCTGTGCAGAAGTCTGCTGTATGTAGGCTGGCTCACCTGCTCCACATCTCGTGCCAGGTCGAAGAACGTTTTAATCTTCTTGACGTTCGGTAACAGAGCCTCGGTGACGGCGCTTTGCAGCTCCGTGTCTTTCGGTGCACTCATCGACTGCTTACATTACATTCACATGCCAACAAAGGGCAGCAACAGGAGTACTGACTAAGTCAATATTCAGCACGATTTTTGATTTTCCTCAACAAAAACTTATCATCGGGACGGCGGGGAAATTCCAAAGAGAACGGGGAGGGAGATTCGAGATTCATCATCTGTATCATACTGTAGCACACAAACAGCTGTATCCAGCTGAATGAACAACCTATACTACTTCTAGATGACAGCAGCTGATCGTCGATTAGACAAGAGAAGAGTGAAGCAAAAACGGCAACGGCAAACACAGAACTGACGAAGCTGAAACCTCCTGCTGGCCTTCGATACCTGTCGGATGAGTGCGCTGCAGCCTTCATACTGCTGTACTGATTGAATCGCGTCCGAGCATCTCTGCAGCAGGAGCAGAACAGCGTTCATCACAGAGAAGAAAGAAAGAACGGCCAGCGTGCCCAGTCAGCCACCGGCATGACACTAACATACATCAGCAGAGAGCCAGCAGCAGTAAAGGATTTTACGGGCAGCACTAATAGTGCAGCAGCAATATACGCACGAGTGTAACGTAGCATCTGTAACGACGCATTATTAATAGCACCGCAAACAGAGTTAACCTTAACAAGGCAGGTGACCATTGGCTTGGCGCCCACACGGCTTTTGTACGTAGCCTGTAAGTGCCACAAGCCCGCCCTAAATCAATACCTAACTTGTGAAGACAACAACAACAACCTGAATATAACTTCAAATCAATCAACTTTCGGAAGTGGCATGTTTCTCTGTGGTGTTTGTCGTGTAAACGTCTCAACATCTCAAAGGACCAAGCCCTGCTGTTGCGTTAAATCGCGTATGCTCGTATGGTGTACTCGGAGTAAGAGCATGCATGCATACATGCGGCATTGAACCAACTCGAATCATCTCCGTCTTTCGCTAGTACACATGCTTTTGTGCATGTATGCATAAGTGTACATTTTTCGCTGCTGTCGGCAACACACCCACAAATAAATGATCTGATGTGCACGTCTGTAAGCTGTAGGGCCATACCGGACGTCAGAGGGGTCAGAAGTACTTACTTTTTGTTACCCAAAGCAGTGCGTTGCGGCCGGAGGGATATCCAAGATATTGAAAGAAATAAAACTTGCCAACATGTCTCTTCAAGGCAATGACCAGGCCCAAAGGTTTCGAACTCAGCATGCGCTCACAGCTCATGAGCACACTACTACTGTCGACACCGCTAGAGCATCAACTTAGCCATATCGCCTCTAGGTCTCAAAACACAAGAGTTAACAACAGCAGTGACTCCGTGTCCTTGGCACAATTCAACACCTCCACACTACACAGGTACACCATTACCTTGATGCAGATATAGCCGTTAAATATCGACTGACCTACGTACACCTGACCACAGGGATGTATGCGCGTACATGAAGTCAACCGACCGTTCGGACTCAACTCGGGCCCCACCGATACCCAGGGATTTTGGCAAAAGGTGGTGCGTGTTTTCGCACGTGCTATCTACCGATTGACACAGCAAAACATTCGTCATGACCATCATTGCCACCACGTTCTCATGTGCGATGCCTGCTGCTGCCTGTGTAGGTTAATGGAACATACATGTGCAAAATAACACCTCGCGCCCACCTCGACGACAAGGCAGAGTTGCAAGTACAATTCTCCATCTTGCCGCTCCTGGCCATCCTTCGGAGATCCCTTCGGCCGCTGCTGCCCTCGCTCGCTGCCTGCTGCAAGATCCAAGGACAGAACAAATGGATCGAATCGTGCGTAAGCTACTGCGAGCGCCGGCGTGGCGTCATAACGCGCTAGAGGACAAGAGACAAAAGGGAGCCGAACAGAAGGGATATGGTGATATGGTGATATGGTTCCTTCGTTCCTCTTCGTCTGTCTCCGCGGCAGATTTCCTCTCTCCGATCGGAGAGCTATTTACAGCAGTAGATAACATGACACGTGAGCGAGAAGAAGAAAGAGAAGCGCGTCTTTTATGTACCACGGGTATTTATCGATCGCACGATGCACGCGATGCAACCCTGCCAGCAGCAGCAGAAGGGAAGGAACTACCGGTAGGGCGAGGGAGACATGAGGAGTAGGCAAAGCAACCGTTGCTGACGATTCGCATATCCAGTTTGAGCGTTATACTCGTGTGCACTCTCTCACGATCGCCAGCGAGACCCTTCGGCTGCAGTATACTTACTGTACATCACATGGAACGGTCTTTCTTTTTAGGGCACCTGCGGAAGGGAGAGTGTACAACGTACTCTTGCAGCACTTGCAGCAGCAGGAGCAGGGAGCACTCCAAAGAGGAGAGCCACCAACTACGAAGGCGAATGGGTCATCAGCGACTGACTGCACTGCTGTCCAACCGCAGTAGCCAATGGCGAAAGCAAGCTGTGTTTTTATCAAGAGTTCAAATTTACGAGGTCCGCGTTAGATGCGGCAGGGTAGCCGCCCGCCGCGCTCAAAAAACAACCATTTTTCTTGCATTTTGCAGAGCTCTTCTCTCTCCCTTCTCGGCTTCTCGGTGTTTATCCAACGAAGTGTATACGGCACCCAAGGCCATCACAGATGAACGAGGGTCGCGCACGAGCACTCTTTTCTTGCATTCGAATGCCAGTAGCATCGTGTCCGTCCGGTCGCTCTATCATCATTTTGATCGATCCACCTCACTTCCTTGTTGAAACCGCGTGGCGCTGCAACGTGTCGAGGCGTTGATTGCGACACAACAACACCGCCGGATACCGGATACACTTGGTCGCCGTTCACACACACCTTCGTCGACGAGAGGCGGCAGGCTGATCTCGTACCCCGCGTGCCCATCTCTCCAGAGCAGCCCCATCAGGTTCCCCATGGACAGCCCGCACGGTTGCTGCTGTGTTGCTAAGTTGCGGCGGCGGCTACTGCTGCCTGCTGATGCGAGGGTCGAGAGGAGTTCTACCTTCTGTGACGCATGCGCGAAACGGCACAACAAACACGTCTTCGTGTTGATGGAATGAATCAGCAAGGAATGGTCGTTCTGTGTGTCTATTTATTGTTCCTAATGAATCAGGACCGAACACGTCGCATGATTTCTATGAGGACGCTTGCTTACGTGTCACTTGTAGATGGTAGCTCCTTACCTCTTCCTCCGCGAGACCAACTACAATAACTAGAAGTTACTTGTTACTTGTTATGATGGTGCCTGAAAGGAGGTTGATTGGTAAGAGACGCATGGATACCAGTACGTGGTAGCAGTGTGGTTACCTGCAGCAGTTGTTGTTGTTGTCTTCACACATTAAATATGCAATATGCCCATTGCCCAAGCGTGAAGGAAGAGGTGTGGAGCGAGGAATGCTACTGCTGCATGTACAGCAGCGGCGCGACCTCCCAAGCCACGCAAATATGGCTAAGAGCTTGTTAGTTAGTACAATTAGCTACTTGTAGCATCCCAGGAGGTCGGTCCAAAATCCGCGCGGAATACAGTAGTCTAAATAGAGTTTCCGATGAGACGACTCATGCTCATTTTCAAAATGTACGAGATGATGTGCGGTAGATGTTCAAGAGGAATTCGCATGAGAACGCTGACGTACCCACCCATTCTTGGGTCACATCGCCCTCCCTATTACTTCTTCAGGGGCAAGGTATCTTCGCGTACAGAACAGCAGCAGCAACGCAGAGAACAAGCTTTCCCCAAATCAAATGTGGAGCCGACACCGATGCCCAAGAGTCATTAGGTAAAAAAAGACGTCGTCGACGAGACAAACCAAGCATGCAATTAGACTACGCAATCAAATCAACGCGAAGACACGTTTCCTGCATATCCCGCTGCACCACAACGTTTCCTGCGCACCACTACTTTTGAGGCGAACCCTCCGACAACCCGTTCCGCAGAAACGCAACCCGTGAGTTGTGTACCGCCACATCCATATATGCCAATTGCAGCACGACGAGCACGAGGGTATTCCCCGTTTGGGAACACAATACAAGCCAAGCCATAGCTCTCGCCCACCCCCTTGCGCCCATCGCCCCCTTCCCTACTGAGCCCTCAAGTCGCCATGGATGCCAAACAGAAGCCTAATTTTCTACTTGGCCTCCTCGAGCGCCGATGCCCCCGAGATGATTTCGATGAGCTCGGTAGTGATGCGCGACTGACGAGCACGGTTGTAGATGAGGGTAAGGCTGTCGATCATTTCTCCCGCGTTCTTGCTCGCGTTCTCCATGGCGTTCATGCGAGACGACTGCTCCGAAGTGGCACTCTCCATCAAGCTGTGCCACATCTGCGAGGCCACAAGGTACTCGTACATGTCCTGCGGAAGAGGAGAAATACAGCCGCAGAACGGCAATAGAGTCGGAAAGGAAACACATGTATGTGAGTCAGGGTCATCGCCACCACCTCCACAGGCTGTTCGCCTTGCCGAGTGTAGACTTCAGCTTGAAACATTGGAAATTGGAATAGGTACGGTTTTGCATCAACGTCAGGTATGTGTACAGACTCTCATGTCCAGAAGTATATCACAACCCAGCGCTAACCCTGGGACCCTGGGTTGATGATGGTGAGGTTTGCCCGGCATACCAGTCTTATTGCACGGTCTAGAAAATATGAGTACATGTAGTACAATACCCAAAACGGAACATCCCCCCCCCCCCCCCCCCCACCGAGGCCAGCCAGTGATGCATGCATCAACATCAACGACCGGACTTACCCTCTACTGCTGTACGATGCAATGCCAGATGAGTGAAAGAGGGCATTGTACAACCATAACACGCTGCTGAGGAGCCAAGGGGCCCTACAGGTTCCTAAATAGTAGCACGGTACGGTACGGTACACTTTATACGGTATGCTGGCAAACGAACGAAAACCACACAATTGCTCGACCCCGCGCTATGCTACAGCAGTATGCGGGTAGGGGAATCGAAAAGTTCCTGCACGGTCGGCGAGTCCGGTGCCATGCGGTCTTAATGTCTTAATCCAACGACAACGGGTCCCGGCAAACAAAGTGGACCGCACTATTGAGGGACCCTGGCAGCACACAGGAGACAGGCACACTGAGGGGGCCATAGAAATCTGCAAGCACCGACAAGGTCGAAACAAGGATACCAGCTGCTGCCGTACGAAAGAAAAAGCGGGCATTTACAGAGGAACATGTCTCATCTCAATCTGTCTTACCTGCATGACTTCCTCCTTCGTGTCAGGCTCGAATTCGTACTCGACCATCTGCTCTTCTCCTCCCTCCTTGGCCAAGTTAGGAAGGCTCTTGATGGAAGTGTCGTATGCGATAGCCGACTTGAACACGTTGAACACGCTGGGTCGGTTGATCGATCGAGAACGAGAGGAAGAGGAACCGGGCAGTATGGCAAGTGTGGCACGATGGCTTAGGAAAGGCGTATCGAGGGTGGCGTTGCAGGACGCGTACTGGGAATCGAAGGTAGCCAACGAGCGTCCAGCGCTGCTGTTGTGGTGGGTTGCTTGGTTCCAAAAAGAAGGGAAGTAAATACATGAGGAGATGTCGCAACATCTAAAGGTGAAAATGTCTAGCAGGTTCACTGCTGCAGCTTGCCAAGACAATCGGGACACCGGTAGACCAGATCAAGTACCTGGTTTAAAATAAGCGCTATCTATCATGTGATCCCATCATGAACATTGGTCCGCGGATAGTGATGGTAACTTCGTCTCGTTTGTGAGGACAAAACTGTGGGAGAAAAGCCCGGAGAGAGGATCCAAGAAGCCAGTGCGGGACAAAGGCAGTGACCTCTGATCTTACACTTCTCAAGTGTCGGGCAGACAGATCTTACATGTGCATGGTGTCGAAGTCGTTCTTGAGGGCCTCCGTGGCCATGGCGGTGGCCATGCCGAACTGCATTGGCGTCGTCGCGTCCGTGCAAGCAGCCGTCATCTCCTGCTCTCCCAGAGTAGCACAACAGCGAAAACACGGCACCAAACCGCACCGCAACGCACCACGACAAGCGCCCGGGGATGGCAAGCCCAATCAGACGATCAGGCCGTAATGGGGGTGGGGAGCATCGTGGATTGGCCGAAAGGAAGAGGGTCACGCGTCGCCCACTCTCGGGGGAAGTGCGGCCGAAATGATAAAATCACACAGGAGAGTATCAGCAATGCGGCTTCCAACGGACGGTAAACGTGGTTCTGGAGATGGCGTCAGCCGCGGCTTTGCAACGCAGTGTATGTACTTCGAAGTAGTGGTACGAGGCGACCACAGGAGGAAGCAGATGTGCTTACATCGGCATGGACGCGGGACAGCTGTGAGCGACCCTTCTCTCCCACCACAAAAAGCGTAGTCTCCTTGCCCTGCTCCTTGGTGCTGATCATCATCTTCTTGATGGCGCGAGTCACGAACGAGTTCACACCTGAACACGAACACGCAGCAGGAACACGCAGCAAAACCACCAACCAACCAGCCCAAGACCGCAAGCAACGGTTACGAGTGGGGCAGATCGATAGTCTGAACGACATGGACAACCGCCGTGGGGCAACCGACTTCTGCCGTTTGGGCCAGCCTGATCTCCCGGCCCGCATGTGTTGCAGAGTTGGAAGGCGACTACAAGGCTTGGATGCTATGCATGAACACACGGTGTTGACGGGAATCCCCAAAATGTGGTGAAGTCTCGATATTTCTCATCTTCCACGCAAAGACAGCCATTCTTTGGCGCTGGTGGAAAAATTGAAGGCCTCAACACTCCCGACAAAGTGTAAATTGGTCACTGAGAGGCCCTGTTGTGATTGCCAGTCGAGGGGTCGTAGAGGCTGATACTGCTGTAAGAAACCATCTATTCGCAACAGCACTAGTGCTCAATAGCACTATCATTTTCCAGAGCCCTCATAGCCGAACGAGGAACAGCGCAGGTTCTCCTCCTCTCCTAAACACCTTCGCGAGAGATTGAATACGTCACTTGAATCAGCTCAATACACGAGCGTAGTAGCGCAAGTCTCACCTCCGCACAGGCCTCGGTCAGAAGAGATGGCCACGATAAGGTTCTTCTGCGGCCAGCCGGATGTGTCGATACCGTCCTCTGTCACCATGGGCGGTTCGTTGAGCTCCGCTGTCCATGCCTGAAACACGGCCGCATCAGCGAGAGGCACAGTAGTCGGCGCGAGGAGCAAGGAGAGAACGTACGACACCAGCAGGACACGTGTCACTAGAGACAAGGGGAAGGTAAGCAGGGAAATGGTGTCCTCACAATGACAGTATCGGCGACCGGGTGGCTTGAACACGCTACAGAGCTGTGCATTGTATTTACACAGAGAGAGAACGACACATCCAAGCATCTTAGATATGCAGAGCAGAATATACATCGGAAGGCCATGCCGACACAAGCCCGCACGCAGACTTTTGAACGCATGGACGAGACTCACGTTGAAAGGTTGTGCCTTGTCAAGCCGCGCCTGGTCCCCGCGAAGCTTGGCAGCCGAAACCATCTTCATGGACTGCGTGATCTTAGATATGTTCTTCGTTGCGTTGATCCGCATCATGATCTGCTTCTCAGTCGCCATCCCTCGCACCGACAAGCTTCAGGGGAGGGGGACGGAACGGAACGACAGAAACAGACTATCATGACTGACTCCTGACTCTTTTGTGCGAGTGTAAGGGGTGGGGGAAAGGAAGCGCCTTGTTCGTTCGTGCCACGAGCAGCCACCGTTTGTGCCAAACTCACCTACCCGAAAGGCACCTTACCCCGTGGATCCTCATAAGGGAACCAACGTTTGTCCGACTACGACCAAACCGCGAGAGACTTGCGTCCTTGCACCCGATGGCGTATTTGGAAAGGTATCATGTATCATGTGTTCGACCATGAGTTCAATCCCGTCGATACCCGGAGTATAGTAATTTGTACTCTACAGCACAACTGTTGTAGTTGTTATTATGGTAGATGTAGCTATACTTCGACTAAGGTTATATCTCAAACGGGTAGTCTTTCTGTGAGGTTACATTTACTTTCTAAATATAACCAGAAATATGATGTGCTGAGATGATTACATCAACGAACAGCTAAACACCAAGGCACAGCAGCCGTCCAAACAACCATAATCGCTCGGTAGATTTCTATCTCGCTGATTGCTCACACCTGATTGCTCCACGTGCTGGCCGAAGGCTTTACACTAACAGTGATGGTTTGGATTTCTCAATCGTTGCTTGGAGCAGTTGATGATACTTCAAGTGACGATACGTTGCAATACCCGACCAACTAGTACGTGTGCAAGCCTACTGCAGTAAAGTACCTCTAATGGTACGTATCAAGTGCTGATCGGACACGCAACAGCCGCTACATAACACGTAACAACCCATGCCATCGACACTAGTACGGTGAGTGGAGGCGGTGTTTTCAAGCCTCACATGCGCAACATGGCAAAGACCAAAACAAGCGCGCGAAGAGCTGATTGCTCTGTCCATCTGATATACTATTCCCCGGATCGGACCACGATTGTACACGCCTAGGAAGAGCTTGTCAGTTCTTAGCTACGCTACAGCAGCAGATTGCGGCACACCTGGGCACGCCGATCGAGGACAGGACTGATCCTATGCCTACCGCTGCACAATACTGCTGCACGCCCTGCAAATGTTAATGTTTGCCCAGCCCTACAGGAGGACAGGATGCAACCTAACTCTTGTTGTTCTTTTTAATGGCTTTGTTATGCACGGGACGGATCGCCTCTTGCATGCGACGTTGCTATCTTTGCATACTGTGGGAAATACGGGGGTTGATGGTTCAGGGAGTGTACGGCATGCCATATATGCGGCGGCTTACCATGCCAACCAACACCATTCGGACAAAACCACGTCGAGTCGTATTTTTCGTAGAGAGTTGCACGACGGTATACGACGTTGTCAATGCAAAGGCGAGACATGGCACGAGAACTACACTCACGAGGACGCACGGCACGGGCAGGAATACGTACTGTAACACAAGCACACAGCAGTAGTGTTTGGCTTCGGCTGCCTTGTGGTAAGAGTACCTTTCCCAGAGTGGCGAGGCCTTCCACATGGAAGGAATGAACCGGGTCATCGCTGGGGTAACCGGACATAGACACGTTGCTTTCTGCCTACATGGCCACATAGCAAGCACTTCACACTTCAGCAGTGTAGCCCATCAAGCCATTCTTCACCGTCAACGATAATGCAACCCCGCACCCCTAACCCTTTGGTGTGCACACGCGCCAGACAGGTGAGATGAGATGTTCGTTTCGAGGTGCTCTGGGTTCGGTTTCTCTCCCCCTGTCTTGTCGCTCTGCGGCAATTGCAAAACCCACCTCGAGCCCAGCGGGCGAGCTTGTCGCAAGGTCCGGCATGCATGGGCGTGCATTGTGCTCGCGAATGCGTTGCGAGATCAGCTGTCCCGGACTCCAACCCTCTCTTCTCTCGCCCAGGAGGTGGTGTGTGGTTTTCTCTCTGCCCTCTCCACTGCTCCGTGCGGTGCCGTCTCGTTGCCCCCCCCCGCCCCACCTCTCTCGACCCACCAATTATTTTGCGATCCCCCTCGGGCGGGACGGGCGCGAATATTTGCAATCCATGGATTATAAAAGAGAACCACAGTCCAAACATCCGGACGGATCGAAACCCCGGGAAACCGCCCGGAGTGTCCCCGAAGAGGTTCTCCTCTCTCCCTCTCAAATTCAATATTATCTCGGAGCCTGGATCTAACGCCCGTTGTCTTCGGAAGCAGAGCTCTCGTCTGCAGCAACAGCCTCAACAGTCCATACTGCCATACTGGCACATATTTCACGCCAAGGCCACCCTTCGCACCCGGGATGCCCAGGAGACGCTAGGCCTCAGAGGAACAGGAGGACACGACGACACACAACGCCCCGTACTTAGAGGAGTGCTCGTCTCTCTCTGTGTGTGTGTCTATCCGCGTGTGGTGCTGCTGTTGTTGTGCGTTTCTGCTGCTGCAAGCAATTGTTGCTGTAGATTTTGTGAACTACATACAGCAGTATTCTTTTTTTGGTAGATATAACCTGCTGCACGGTGCTGCCGTGATGGATGTCAGTCATCATGGGGCCGTCAAAATCTGTAGGCATCGTTTAGTTCGCACACCGCAGGCCCGCTCAACAAACTCGAGACGCGGCTCACACGGTTTTCTTCGCAGAGCACACAGGTCGACAAGCACAGATAGACGCAGAAAAAAACAAAACAGAACAATCAATATCCAACAGCGATTTGATGATAGACTGACCCCCACCAAAAAAATGAAAGGACCTGGATATGACCCCAACACGGCAAAAAAGGGGGCGGAAGAAAGAAAAGAAAAGGAAATGGAACAAAAGAAATAAAAACAGGACAGGAACCAGATGGCCCCATCGAACGCTACACCGCAACAACCAAATAGACATACAAACACAAAATCGACAACATCACAGACGGCGATCGGCGCAAAAACGCCGAAGCGAAAAATAAACAACACACCGAGCCTTGACCTGCCGCCGGGGGGGGACAAAACATCGTTCAGGCATATGCCCCGGTGACGTCGTAAACCTAGGGCCGCGTACCGCTACTCACGTACCCCAAAGTATGCAACACCGAAACTAGAGTTGGGACCCCGAAGTCGCGGCTCTCTTGCTACCCCCTCTTGTGTATCTTTCTGCAGCGCCAGGTCGTCTTTTATTACTTGTCCTAGCGGGCAGGCGAACAGTTCCAGGGTTGGCCATGAAGAGAGCCGCCCCCCGCCCTCCCGTCGTTGTAGTTCCTACCCCGCCTGCTTGCACATTGACCATCGTCAGAAATTGGTCCACGAGGGCTACGGCGACTGTCGGTGAAAAGCGATCAGACAAAATACTCGCGGCTTGCCCGAGCTTCTTCGTTACGTCGGCGTACAACACTTGTCTATCCTGGTCCGTGGGCCCCTTCTCCTTCAAGTCCAACAGGACCGTCTGCACCGTCTGGCTGCTCCCAACGAAAGACTTCCATCTCCCGCTGCATCCCCCCACCCCCTCTCCCTCTCCCTCTCCCGCCGCCCCGTCCACTTCTCTCGCAGCGTGGCGGTTGGATACCACCCACCGAGGGCGGGCGACATCCGGCCAGTCCTGCTGCGGTGTTCCCCTCGCCTTTTCCGTCAGCCAGTGCTCGTGCAGGAGGCCTACGTGGAATCTGAATCGGGGGCTGTACATCATCGCCGCCCACACATGGCGACAAAATAGCCTGAGAGTTTGGAGTGTGCGGCACTGGCAGAGATGGCTACCGTCGGAAAAGAGCAAGACGAGGTAGTCGAAGGCCTTGTCATCACGCTGCTCGTGAATCCCGAAGACGTAAATGGCGTCGCAAAGCTTGTCCTCCGATGTACTCGAACGTGCGCCCCGAAGCTGCCGCGCGTTCTGGTCCATCCACCTCCCCACCACCCATCTGGCAAAACGTGATGGCCGCGGTCATCTCTTGCTCCATGAACCGCCGCGGCCAGCCCGCGATGGAGAACTCGCAGGACTCGAGCACACTCTTGAAAGCGGTCGCTGGTGGAGCCGCCATCCGATTAGGCGGCAGATGGTCGATTGCGTCACGCAGCATGGCGGCATCCTTCTGGGAACAGATGATGCCCGAAAAGTACTTCGCCACGTCCAAAAGCGAGGAGCGCGAGTTGCACCTATCCCTGATGAGGGCGTTTTGGCCTGTTGTGTGTGCGGCGGACAAACACGCAAGAAGCGACACACAAAACCAAACCGTAGGTTAGTGATTGGTGTCATCAGACATCGTTGAAGTCGCAGTACGCCAAACGACTGAAAGAGAAGCCTATGACTTGACGCACCCATCGCCACAGATGTATGTACACGTGAGCCGGACGATCGCAGTGCACCGACCAAGTACATCAATCCCGAACAACAGGGGCCGGACAACAGCCACATGTTTCGAAGAGGTCGTAAACATTAGCGTCATGTAGGGAGTTGTTTACTGGTCATCCACTGACGGCGTACGATAAATTCGTCCAGAAGCACTCACCAATGGCATAGTAAATAGGGGGCAAGGAAGATAGCCGCCCCCAACCCCTACAGACGTAGAAAAACTCCCAAAAACAACGACAACGCTATATGCGCTGTCGTTCTCGAACAAAACGCTCATGATGGCAGATGACGCATACACGCACCTTCAACTCTTGATGTCGTCCACGAACCCACGGAGAACACCAGGGGCGACACATATTCCGCCCACCGTGCACGGTCGTCATATACTACTTGCATGTACTTCTCCGCCTTCGGGTACTTTTCGATGAGGGCGTTGAACTTCCGTTCGAACTTCGCCAATGACAGCTGCTGACGCACACACCTGAACTCGTCCATGAAAGGCTGCGGAAAACACAAACGACGTGGGCCGGGTGGGTGTTGCGTGAGTTGGGGCCTTTGCGATATGGGCTACCGGTCTGTACGATTGACTGCCACCAACAACCCCGTACACTTCGTTAGCGCTAAGGCGAGACGAGGAGAGGGTTGAAAAAACTCAGCGACATACCATTGGTGCTTACAACCTGCTGCTGCTGCTGCTGCTTTTTCTGTGTGCACTGGACGTCGTGAGGTATGTTTCCGTCGAAGCCGAGGTCGTCTCCGCATCACGGTCTACGCAGAGACGCTGGATATCACTCTTCCAAGTAGGCGACACTGATCCATGACAACGCACCAACTCGCACAGGGGATACAAGCGGGAGTGGGGGAGGGGGGCTAGAGTGGGCAGCGTACGTCGCGCGACCAGGACAATACGAGAGGCCAGACTAACCACGCCAACACACACAGTAGAGCGCACCTTCATGTACCCACCAAGGACTTTAGCGAGGGCCTTGATAACGTTCTGGTTGAGGTGCCATAAATTGCGCCTCGCCAGCGCGTCCGGGAACACCTCTCGCACCGCCGCCGTCATCGCCGCGTCCGCGTCCTGGATGAAGGTATCCGGCTGCTTCCCGCGAGACTCCAACGCACTCTTCAACATCCACAGGAAAGTGTCCGTTGTGGTGTCGGCCGTTATGCTTTGGCCGACGATCCGCGTCCGATACTCCGAATCGACGACAGCGAGCACACCGAGAGGCATACGGTATCTGTTCTTGACAGCGGTGTCGTCGTAGAGCGCAACGTGACCGTACCGATTCCAAAGCGCCACCTGCGTATTCGGAGCATGACGTCGAAGGGGATCGAGAGCACTTAATTGTGGGTGTGACGTGTGTTGGACGCGTCACAACGCACCCCCACCCTTGCCTACGGCGTGCTTTCGGTCAGACGTCCTACATTTGCGGACGGCGAAGCGGTACGTGCGAGATGCTAAAATGAAAGCAAACCTTCCGGCTGGGGAATATTCGTATGGGGCACAACGACCGGCGACCTACCTGCTCTCTCGTTTGCCACCAGATGTGCGTCAGGCGGCCGCTGTCATCCATCTTGATCTCGCACACTCCGCCGTCGGCCGTCGCGGCCATGACCTGAAATTGCAACATGTTAAGCGCCCGGAAACATCGAGGGCATCAGCGCAAAACCACGACGACGGCACGGCACACATTTTTTACCTCCAACATTTCTTGGTTTGGTGTCATGGGGCATATATTCTCCCGGTTGTCACCTGCGATCGTATGTGTCTTGTCGCCCGGATACCGCCTTGAGCAAAACCCAACATCCCACACACAAACAAGAGAGGCAACAGTCTCAACGGACACATGGACACACCTCTTCGTACGCATCGGCAGCATCTCTCGGCTTCTCCGCCCCGTGCACAATGGCAGCTGCGTTCTGCACCGCGCGCTTGTTGATGTCGATGTCGCTGTCCTCGTGCAACGCCTTCATTGCTTTCGTCACCTCTTTTGGCTTCATCCCATGACCTGCGCCGTATGGGAGAGCCGGGAGCACAAAAATAAGTGGCGTGTCACAGACAAACAGGGTAACAATGTGGAGGCGACAGCAGTACCACGCTTCAAGGGCCGTTCGTCATGCGGCATCATGACTACCAACCATGACAAACCGTGGGATACGACGGGAGCCACTGTAGACCTACTCCAACGAGTTCAATCTTCCTTGCCCCATATTTGATTCACAAGACAAGACAAATGAAACGTTTCGCCGTCCACCGCTGAGTACACGAAAACAGCGAACCGAACGTGCACGCGTTGAAAGGCACGAGGTGCAGCACAGCAGGGACAATCAATTGGCGTGCTACACCCACGAAAACAATGGCAGGGCCTCTACAGGGAGCCTTGATGTGGACCGGGGGAATGCCAGATACCGGTGCTCTTTTCATGGGGCCAAGGGGAACAGCAGCAGCAACATCAAGTAAAGCACACAAAAAAACATTGTGGGTGTCACGCCGAACGGCACGTGTCAAGCACCAACCCGTCTCGCCTGCGTTTCCGGCGGGGGGCTGGTGGTCAATGTCTGCTGCTGTTGTTGCTGTACGGGGTGGGCTTGT